TGTTTGAATATATTAAACACATTCCATTTGTTTTAAAAGTGCTGTTTGTTGTCGACTTTTATCAACAAAAAGTCCCACACACCTACTGTATAAGAATCTTAAGCCCACATATACATTTAAAGCACTGACAAAAATGTAATTTACAATGTTGATGCATCATCTTTTTTCATACTTAATGGTAAGATTAGGAAACATAAGTAGATATATGGCACAGTAGAAATCATTTTAGGCAGAGAGTTTTGTTTTTCTAGCATGATGGTTTAATTCTGGAGGCAGTTAATTTAAGGGAGATAGCTTAATAAATACTTTAATGAAAAGGGTTGGCTCTAAATTCTTTTTTTTAATGGTGTAGTTTAATTTAGTAGATAGGACAGCTTAATTAGCACAAAAGGTTCTTTGCTGTCCTTTAACCCAAATCTATCATTTTTAATTTATCAGCTGAATTTTTTGTTCTCTTATTCTGAACTTTAGGTATCTATTCATGTGCCCAATATAGTTTAAATCACAACTACACGAAATTTATATATTCCAAATTTATCTTTAAGTTCAATTTTTTGATCAATTAATAATATTAACTTTAATTGAGGTGTAAAGGTTATTTGACAATCTGTATTTTTCCTAGATACATTACCTACATTTGTTGACATGGTAGGTATATATATTTTTCCTTGTTTCCCTTTCTGGTTAACAGTATATTGGTATAATTTGTTATAAATCCTACCTACAATACTAGGTATATACCCTCTATCATTTGTTTCATACTTTAAGTAATTTAATTCTAAACTTACATGTTTATATGATTAAACACTAAAGATGAAAATGGGGACATATTTTATAACAACAAGTGCAACTCAACTGTTTAGAGTTTGTTTGTTTGAAGTTAAGCAGAAAGATACACAATGGGCTATCTGTACTCTGCCAACCATGGGTATTGAAACCCGTTGTCTTGTTTGTAAGTCCTCAGACATACCACTGTGCTAATGGGGTAAAAACAGTTTAAAGATGACTGAATGAGTAATAAAGAAAACTATATTAGAAGTAAACACTGTAACAAATGTACAATGTTTGAAGAAGATATTGTTATCATAAGATCCAGGTAGTTTACCAATATATAGTAATATACATACAGTATTAAACAAAGTTACATGACTGGAGATTGGTCAAGACTTTATAAATGTGACTTTTTAATGAGTATACTATGGTTTTATTTAATTCTAATGTTTGTAAACATGTTTTTATTATGTTAACCGATAAAATAAAATCATCATCAAGTCAGATAAGTTTACCATTTAGTGGATATGGTAGGTGACTTCAAAATATCCTGACTCAAAACTTTATGAAATATTTTTATGTTTGCCCTTCAAACATAATATAAAAATGAATTGGTTAACTGGTAACTTGATCATTTCTAAATTGAGACACGATGTTGGAAATAATAACATTATTGTCCTTATCAGTGCTAGTAAAGTTTATAAAACGTCATAATGGGAATGCTGCATATTTTAAAAACAGACATATGGTGACTACATGGTAGTATTTATCAACATTAGTAATCTGTTCATCGGGTATAAAACGTCAAGATTATATTTTACAAAATTGTTATAAATATCACTAGGTGTCCCCTTCTGATGTTTGTTTGTTTGTTTTTAATTATGCACAAAGCTACACAAGGGCTATCTGTGCTCTGCCCACCACGAGTATCGAAACCCGGATTCTAGCGTTGTAAGTCCGCAGACATACCGCTGTACCACTGGGGGCCCCCTTCTGATGCTAAGTGAAGTTCTGTAGGCATGCAAATCTCAAACGAATACATTAATGAGTTTCCTTGCATGACATTCTTATCTTAATCCATTACAGCTATGATGTATTATATTTTATACACAGTCCATTACAGCCATGATGTATTATATTTTATACATATAGTCCATTACAGCCATAATGTATTATATTTTATACACAATCCATTACAGCCATGATTATATTGTTGCGTCAGCGAGGTCACATGACTAGTATCACGCCACCTCTTTCTAGAAATATCCTGTTCCATCATGAATGAATTTACTAGATATGTGTTAGTCTTGTATATATAAGATGGTCACAACGTGATGGGGTAATGAGTAATTGAACTGCAGTCAGAGAGTGTGTATTTGAACTGAGTATTGTTGAAGTTGAGCACGTGGGACGTTCATTATAGCGTTTGTTATAGTGCGACTGTTGAAATTAAGTGTATCGCAAAGTTATATTCAGAAAGAATAAACCAGTTTTGTTTAAAAAAGGACTTGTGTCGCTAAAGTTTCGTCGAAACGAAGTTACGGAAAATTAACTAACGAACGGAGACGTAACAATATTTTACATCATGGCTGTAATGGACTATGTGTATACAATATAATACATCATGTCTGTAATGGACTGTGTGTGTAAAATATAATACACCATGGCTGTAATGTATAAAATATT